TCTTTCAGGATTTTCTAGCAAAATAGATTCCGGTGGAAGCAAATTCCATTATGGAATGACACTTTCCCTAACCATTCCATCATAGAAAGGTCTTTTTTTCTTCATTTTTTTGATGAGAAACTGACTCCGGCGAGTCTTTTGTTTCTAGTAGAGACTACAAGGTTTTTGAGTAGACGAGTAAACAGAGCAGCTTGTAATTGTTGGTTCCGGTTGAAGGAAATAGAGGCACCGATAGTTTTAGTTTTTTAGGTTTACAATTGTAAGTTTTGAGTAGGTTTTCAAATTTTATTTTTTTGGATTTAACAATCAAGTAAATTCATAGATCTCTTCAAGGATTTTCAGATTACCAGAAAGGAATCAATTTGTTGAGATTGTCATTTCTTCTTAAAATTTATGTGAGGTGTTATTGTTATTTCTTTGTCAAACTTATCTGGGTTTGATTTTGTTCTTTCCTAGAAAGAAATCAATTTGTTCTTTCCCAAAATAGAGGCGTTATTATTATTTCTCCGTCAAACTTATCTGGGTTGCACCTTTTTTGTCAATTGCAAGGAGCAAAAGGAGGAATTTGAAATCTCATGAATAGACCTATTCATGGGCTGGGTGGCCCGTCAAGCTGGCCCGGCCCGGCCCCCGGACGGGCTTGAACACACATATGGGCCTACGGGCTTAACCTTGGGCCAAAAAGCCCGGCCCACAATAAATTCGAGTCGGGCTCAGGATTTGCCAAAATAGCCCGGCCCGAGCCCGGCCCGACCCGACCTATAACTAAACCTAAAAACCCTAGTTGAAGACCTCCTCTTTTTTTCACCTCTTTGCCTCTTTCCTTTCTTTTTCCAGCCGAACCATTCTTCTCCAGTCTCCACATCCTCCAAAGTTCTCAACTTCTCATCCTCACACTCTCAGGTAGCCACACAACCGGCGAGGCGGCGAACGTTCACCGACGCAACAACTCCGGTGGTGAGTCCTCACTCCTCTCCTTCTCTCTCTCTCTCTCTCTCTCTCTTTCTCTCTCTGACTCTCTCGTTCCTCTTCTCAAATCTCACTTCTCTTTCAAATCTCAGACACCGGCGACGGCGAGGCGGCGAATATAGGCCGGCTGCGGCGGAGAGTTCTCTCTCTCTTTCTCTCTCTGATGCGAATTGATCACTGTTAAACTTAAAATCGCCAGCGAATACAATCACCGGCGAACGCAATTGGGCTTCGGGCTCGGGCTCGGGCTTTGGGCTTTGGGCTTTTTATCAGGGCCGGGCTAGGGCCCAAGTTGTAGGCCCGTTGATCGGGCCAGGCTCGGGCTCGGGCCTAACAAATTTTCATTAATGAAGAGTAAAAGCCCGGCCCGGCCCATGAACAGGTCTACTCATGAATGAGAAAATAAATTTTCCCTTCCCATCCCATCCTTTCTCAGCAACCAAACAGACCCTTAAGATCCCCATAATCTCATTTAGAAAATACCTCTAAATTCCCATAGTTTTATTTTAAAATGCACCAAATTTTCTATGATTCCATTACTAAAATACCCCTAAATTTTCTGTATCTTTATGTGGTTGCCTCATGATGGAAAAAATTTGGGGATTCCTCTTTGGTGCCTTGCTCCAAACCCGTCCTACCATTAGGGATGGGTAAGGGATTTTGTCTACGGGGAGAGGGTGCCCCACCCCAAACCTACCCCGTTGCCATTCTAATCAATCAAAATCTATTTAAATTGGTAACTAAAAATTTATATTTTCTCAACCCACCTTCTATAATGTTCGTGAGATTTCAACATCAATGCAAATAATGATGTGGGGGGCCTAGAACATCTCATGGAGAGACATAGATTTTATAATGACAATATTAACATATTATTTATAATTATAATAAAATTTAATTATTTATGATTTTTATTACTTTACTTTTATTATTATTTGTCCTATTGTATTGTCTATTTTTTTCTCTTATAAAGTATATGTATTTGAAAGGTGGAGAGAGAGAGAGAGAGAGAGTTAAGGAGTATATTTACAAGCTCCCTCCAAAAACTAATGCCGTCTTGAGCGGTATATTTTACAAGCTTAGCCCAGCCCAATTTTTAGTTGGTCAAAACCACTGTTTTCAAAATCGGACCGAATCGGACGGTCAGACTGAAAAAATTGGGAATCAGTCACCTGATCAGTTCCGTTTTCCTCCAAAATCTCTTTTTCCCTCAAAACCGTTGATTTTGGTCAATAAATCGTTCGAACCGTTGTGACCGTTTTCCAATTTTTAAATTTTTTTATTTTTATTTTTGTCAGTACAGGCCGACCATTTGGGTCGAATGGTGGACTGTTCGAACCAGTAACTGGACCCCTAACTGGTTCGTTTTTAAAAACCATGGTCGAAACTAATGCCATTTCTTGAGAGGTTTTTATGAGAATAGTGTTGCATTGCTGCCGCGTAAGAGTTTTCCAATGCCACATCAACATACTGTTGTTAGCAACATTAAAAAAATGAGAAAACTCCCAAAAAAGGGATGCTTTCTCAAACCATACCTTTCCTGATTTGTAAGGCAAGGTTTGAGAAAATATTTTCTTCAGAAAAATGTGTAACCAAACATCAAGCATAATCTGGAAAAACTGATTTCAGATATAGGATTGGCATGTTTTTCAAGAAAACGGCATCAGTTCCAAACACTGGCTTAACCAACCAACTGGCACCCTCTTGGGGCTTTATGGGTTTTAACTGCACTGCGATGCCCATATGCAAATGCCTTTTTTATTTTTTATTTTTTTTGAGGTTAAAATGCCAACTAATTGAAAGAGCCACATTTTACAATTTTACAATTTTAAATTAGGGGTGAAAGTTGGGTGGACTGGCATTGAACTTTTGTTAAACTTTAAAAGGCCCGACACGACGGGAATTTGGGTCCAATGGAATGGAAAATCTTCAAATCGCAATACCCAATTTACACTCAAGTCATGCAGATGCCATGTGACATTACTATTGAGCAAAGAATATGTAGCTTCCAAAGAATATAACACTAGAACCCATATTTTTTATTTGGTGAATCAAAACTCTCCTCATTGGCTGTACAGGTGCCTTGGAAATGACGACTTATAATACTACCCTGGTTTTCAGGTTGGGCCCATTTAAATTTTGACAAATTCTCAAATCCGCCCAACTTGTAGATGCAAATAAATTGAATTGGATTTGAATCAGGATATATCCAAATCTGATCCGACACTGTTAAGAATCAATCCAAAAACTTGATAGGATCTCATAAGTATAAATTTGAATTCAATCTGATCTGATCCAATTTAAATTTCTTAAAATATTAATATATTATTAAAGGAAAAAATATAATATAATAATTAAAAACACAAAAAGACAAATATCTTTTGAGATTGGGTTTGTTCGTGGGTAGGAAGAATACTTGATGTGTAAGATGTCTAAGTTTGAGATGTGTTGCAGAATACTTGCTTCCCCCGTATAAACAATAACAGGTAGTAATATCCCTCGTTCCTGAAAACAAATCATAAGCCTCGGATCAATTCAAAGTTCAAACTTAAATTCAACTAAGACTTTTCCAAATCATATAGACATATGGGGTTGGCTACATGAATCCTATTGGATCTTCGACTGGTTGTGATAGTAGCCACCTGAGATCAAATTCTGCTGCCACTAGGGATGGGGATGGGCTACCCCTCCCCCTGCTGTGATAGCCCCATGAACCCAAAAAAGATGAATCGCTAAACCATTTTGGTTGTTTGGTCTGTTTAATTTGTAACGGGAGATGGTTTCTATTGCATGTGACCAAACTATTTTGACAAATGTTTTTTAGTCTACCTCTCCATGAGTTACAATATTGGAGTGTCTAATGACCAAAATGCCACCAAAAGAACTCTTTTACATATTTTTGGGGGTAAAAGAGCCTATACATTTACACTAGTAAAAGAGCCTTTTTTTGGGTGTATTTTGGTCAATAGACATTCCAATATGAATGGATGTGGTAGCAAAAGGGGTTTATTTGCATATTGGAGAGGTATTATTATTAATAGAATAGCTGGTCCCATATGAATGGATGTGGCAGCCCATCCCCCATTGTGTAAAAGCATAATGACCATTATGAATCCCCTCCCTCCCAAAAAAAAACTCTCTCTCTCTCTCTGACCAAGATGGAAGAAATGAGAATCCCTTTTTACTTATTTTATTAATATTACATATTATATAATAGTGGGTCTTTGAAGGAATGTATTGCTTGACTTGTAAGGCTTTGAATTCCTGGGCAAACTTGAAAAGCGGACCAATAGATGTAACATGCCCCCGGAACTATATCAATCAATTGATAAAACAATTAATCAGGACAGACGCACTGTTGGAATGGCCATTTCTAGGTTGTAATAAACAAACCATTCAAAATATTTATCTAAAATACCCATTTGCCTTTGATGAACTTGGGAAGTTAAACCGATGGTCAAGATTTATGGATCCATCATGCAATGTGCAGATCATATTTCCACATCAAACAAACGAGTTTTTGTGACACTTGTGATACAAGCATGGGCCCTAGGTCCAATGGGCTTTGTTTGCGGATTAGCAGGAACGGATACAAGGGATAGATACATCACATTCCAAAGGCCAGAAGGCCAGAACCAGATGCATGGATTATATATACACAAAAACCAAATAATCCCGAATCGAGGACTAAAATATACATTGTCTAATTGACTAAGTAGTCAGATATCAGAATCGTAGGGTTTGAGATTTGCTGGGAGTAAGCGAACAGACCCAACAACCCAAAAACCAGACCGAATTTTCAGAAGCCGTGCCGTCTTGGGTGCTAGCATGTGCCGCACCGCACACACACAGCTTCTTCGGCAATTAACCTCTTTTTCCGCTTTTATTTTATTTTATTTCCTTTTTAATTTATCGATACGTTGTTTCCCTATACAGCCTTCTCATTTATCTATGCCAATATGCCATTACATGGATGATGGAATCCCTTTCCCATGTAACTCTCCTACAAACAATCCGTTGGATCAAGCTAATGACGGCCTTCCAAATTGGGATCGAACGTGGTTGATTATACAATCAATTTGTTCAGTTAGGCAAACTTAAGGTAGAGGTGAGATTATACAATCAACTTGTTGGAGTAGAGAAGTGTTGATTCAGTAGGAGTGTGGAGTTTAGACTGTTGGAGGGTGTATTGTAAGTTCAGTTGAGAATGGGAAGAGATTTCAATTTTCAACAAAAAAATACCCGAGGACGCCTTGGGAGCTTGAAGCCTTAAAATTTGGGATCGAGTCCACTCGTGCGCATTTTGACTTTTTGACTAACCTGCACGAGTGTAACCGATAAAACCACCTCGTTTCTCTCTATTCGCCTTTCTTCCTCTACTGGTTTTTTGAGTTCTAAAAGGGCGACGGTACTATTTGTTCGTTCCTTGAGACGGATCGTCGGGGACTCTGTTGCTTTCTCTGACTGTCAATTGGCTGTTAAATTCGTAGAGCTTTCTGCACATACTTGCACCAAGTAGTGACTGATTGACTGGTTTGACGAGTATCAGTGAATGGTTCCGGTCGTGAATGCTCCTCTCTAAGCTCTGCTGGCAATGGATGCTGAAAGCCCAAAAACTAGTTCATTGGTTTCAAGTCCTTTGTGCTCTCCAAATGTTGGGACCCTGCTCAAGATTAACATAATTTCATGGTAAGTTATCTAGTTCTTTCTACCACACTTTCTATTGTATGAAGATGATCAGTTAATTGGGCTGTTTTCATGCATTTGAAAATACTACTTGATTTACAGTGGCTGATACCCGATAAATATATACATTTTTCAGGAGCCAAGAGACTGGTTTACCTGTGTCTGCTAGGGTGTGGGCTAACGGTAAAATCTTTGATCTGCATAAGGTAAGCATAGAGGAAGTTTTAATCAAATTTTGATTGTCAAAAAAGAGGTTTGGTTCATCAATATACTGTCATCATACCTTCTGTTCTCTGATGCAGCAACCATTGCTTTCAAAGAGCGGATACTTCAAGAAGGCATTAAATGGATCAATGGAGCTCAAACTACCAGATAACTTCCCTGGAGGGTCAGAAGTCTTTGAGGTAGTTGCCCTGTTTAGTTACAGTTCTTCTGTGACGATAGACCCTTTCAATGTTGCAGCTCTGCGATGTGCAGCAGAATTTCTTGAAATGACAGAAGATTGTGGATCTGGCAACCTCTGTGAGCGAGCAGACCTGTATCTAAACCAAGTTGTCTTACAGAGTTGGGACGATACACTGATTGTTCTTCAAAAGTGTCAAACATTACTCCCATGGTCTGAAGATCTCCTCATTGTGAGTCGCTGTGTGGAGTCTCTTGCATTCATGGCTTGCATGGAGATTCTTGATCCAGAACAGAGACGTGACAAACCTGTTGTTACCTTGGAGGCCTTAGCAAGTCAACCTTGGAGCTGCGAGGCTGTTAAACAGATTGCCAGCCAGGATCTATGGATCAAAGATCTTATAGCTTTGCCATTTGAATTTTTCAGAAGAATAATTAGGTCCTTGAGACGCCAGGGGATGAAGGAAAAGTATGTAAGCCCTATAATTGTTTTCTATGCCAACAAATGGATACTCTCAAGGAAGACCCATCAGTTCTGGGAGAATACGGGTGACACAAATGGGACTGATGACGTGAATAATAAAATTTTGGTTATTCTACAAGGTACAATAGACTTGCTGCCCATGGGAGAGAAGGCTAGTAGAGTAATTCCAGTTGGATTTTACTTTGCCTTGCTCTCAAGATCCATTGATCTTGGTATAAAAGATGTGAGTAAAAAGAAGTTGAAAGATCAAATTGCATCTCTACTCCACTTGGCCCAGGTGGATGACTTTCTCCTTCCCAGAAGCGGGTCTGAATCCATTTCATCAAGTGTGGAGTTCGTTACAATGGAGAGTATAATCTCAACCTATGTATCATCTAAAACAAGGCCAAACAATACACCTTTAAATAATTACATTGTTGCAGACCTATGGGACAGGTACCTTTCCCAAATAGCTTCTGATCCAAAGATGGGGCCAAAAAGATTCATGGATCTTATTGAGAGCATACCAATATCTGATAGACAGACCCATGATCATCTCTACAGAGCATTGAACACCTTTCTACTGGTAAGCTTTCAGATCCTTCAACATTCTCCATTTTTGTCAAGTATACATTTTCTTTTCTCAATTCTGGTTTTTGATATGCCAGGAACACCCAAATATATCCCAAGGAGAGAAGACATCAGTCTGCAAATACCTAAACTGCCAGAAGTTATCACAAGAAACATGCATTGAAGCTGTTCAAAATGAGTTGATGCCACTGCGCTTGATTGTCCAAGCACTGTTTGTTCAGCAGTTGAATACACACCAAGCCTTCAAAGACTGCTCAGACTCCTTCAGGTATGCGAACTGTGGGGAATTCTCTGGAAGCCCTTCCAGCTCAAAGTATCCATACCTCAAATGCCAGAATATAGACAGGAGTCCAGACAAGGAAACTGATGGAGGGGAGTCAGTTGGCAAGTCCTTAGGGTTCTTGCTACAGAAAGACCTAGCAATGCAGAAATCTGAGTTTACAAGCAGGGATTTTGAGTCCACAAGCTTCAGGATTCAGACCCTTGAACAGGAGCTCATGTCCTTGAAGAGAAGTCTTCAATGGAAAAACATCACTAAGGCATCAGAGCCAATCCGAACCAAGCCACAATGTGCAAGGCCCCACAACTTGGAAGGAAAAGCAGTGAGCAAGAAGAGAAATCTGCTTGGGCAGGTTAGCAGTTGCATTGGTTCTGTGAGTTTTGCTTCTCAAAGGAAGTATGCAAATAGGTTACTGAAGGTCTTCCGGAGGATAGTATTATTTGGAAGAGGCAAATCAAAAAGAAAGCCAGGTGCTTCTGGCCGATGGCCCAGGTCATCATAGAAAAATCATCACAGGCATGGATCATATGAATGTTAAAACGACTATAAGATGGATAATTGGAGCAGCAGAATTATTTTTCAAGCATAAATAAATTAATGCATAGACATGTAAAACATAGGGTATACCCATGCAAATAAATGCCATATCCATGTGTGTATGCTTATATGTAAAGAACATATAAGTACATATCTAGATGAATATGTGATAAAGATGAAATTGTGTTACAAATGCTGCTTCATTCATACATGTGAATGAGGATTTTCTCTTGTGTTGACTTAACAAAGGCTCAAAACCTATCATCATCATCATCATCATCATCCATGCCTTATTCCAACTATATGGGATCAACTACATGAAACTGAAATAATCCAATCTGTACTTGACTTTCAAGACCTAGAAAAAGAAAAGTTGCAACAGCAGAGGTTACCTTGAGGGCTCCAATCAAATTTGAGTTTGATTTACCTACTTTAGAATGCTCACCCACTAGGACTAGGTCTTCAGCTTAGTACTGCATTAAATGGATGTTGTTTTTAGCAAGTTCACTTCACTGTCTTATCCTTACATTAGAAGACCCCATCATTTTTTTTTTCAACCAATAAATGATGACTAAAATGATTTTCTCTTCAATAGTAGACATTGCCTATTGCACCATATAATCAGTCAGAGGTGTCAATTGGACTGGATTTAGTCCAATCCGATCCAGTCCAATGTGAGTCCATTATAAATGGAACAGGTCCAATCCAATCCAATGAATGTTTTGGACCAACTTGGACCAGTCCAATTCAATGTCTGGACCGTCCAATCTGTTCAAATTCATTTTGATTTAGATTGGTTTCAACCCAAACCCAGTCCATTGACGCATATTCTTATCTTATATCAATGGACTAGATATCGGCTTAATCCAACCCAATCCAATATAAATTTGTTACGAACGGACCAGGTCCAATCCAATCTAATAAATATTTTGGACCGGATTGGTCCAATTCAATACGTCTTGTTGGTCCGTCCAATCCATCCAAATTGATTTTAGACTGGACGGGGTCCATCCAAAACCGGTCCATTGACACCCTTACAATCAGTTTAACAATCTTTGTTTCTTTTTGGTAATTAATCAGATTAACAATCAGTGAAGAAAATCTAGTAGCTAAAGTTAGAAATATATAATCTAATTTTTTATTCAAAATATATAATTTAATTTTTTTATCAGTAACAGAATCAAAATTTATTACTTAAAGAAACAATGTGAACATATAATCTAATTTCTATGACAAAAAAAAGGGAAAAGAGAATCAGTTATCACTCAGTACTCTCCTGAATAAAAAAAGGATATTTTCTTTTACTTCCTACACCTAAAAATAAGAAACAGAAAACTGGTGGGTTAATTAATCATATATTTTCTTCACTTCTTAGTGACCCAATCTGAGTAAAGTTGTCTACTCTCTCAGAATTAAAGCATTTAAATCTCAGAAAATATAAAATCAGTGCCAAGGCCCCTGAATTATTTAAAAGGTTGTCAAATAAAGAAAATTTGAATTAAAGGAAATCAATGAGTCATCTCTAAACTCTCTCACCCTCTATAAATTTCAGAATGTATCATCCTTAAGGAATGTAGAACAGCTTAAGGGAAAAACCTAAAACCTCATCTCTCCTTGAAGCTTCATGAGCTTATATCAGATCATCTTCTTATCTTGTTTGAAGGAAAACAAAAATGAAGTAGCGCACATGCCTTCCATCTTATGAAAATAGATAACATGCACTTATTTGAACTCTCACTCAGGCTCAATTAGGGAAGAGTACAAAAACAAATATGTACAGTGCAAATATTTGTTTGCACTATGAAACAGAAGTATAGTCATGGAGACTCAATGGGGCTTGAAGAACCAATATCAGCCAAATGGAGAGACTAAATCACCTTCACCACTCCATTACAAACATCCTTACCTTCTCCAATTAAAAGCTGTGGGATCAAGCTTCTTGCTTAACATTATGTGCATAAAACGCATAATGTACCTTCAACAGTAATAGACAAGAAAACTAAAGAGTTTAACATGAATTTATGTCAATAATTAAAGTATCCATAAGCAAACAACAAAGCAGCGGATTAAATTTCATATGGCCTTCCAAATAAGTAAAGGCAACCCTTTAGAATTTCCTACTGACCTACAAACATGTTTAAGTATTCCATCTTTATATCTGTTTCATACAATGGCACAATGACTGTGGTCGATCATCCCTTACCAATTTACCAACAACCAAAACAACAAATATTAATGCGTATACACTAGTTATTCACTGAGATTACCTAAACTTTCACCATAGATCATTATTAATTTCCTGTTCTGCTTATAATAGAAATTGAAGTGCTTAAATGACGATTCAAATCACTTAGATAACTGTTATTTCAATTAATATACATATCAAGAGGGGATACAGTGAATATCCTCTAAGAAAACCACAAAAACTTCAACACTGCCATGTGATATAGATGAAGGAATGAAAGATGAAGAAACACACAACAGGATATAATAGGCTGAGTATAGATTATATTAGCTAGATAATGGAGATGCTTCAAGGTATGAATCACATTTAATCCTTTGAGATTCCAGGACAACCCTTGCAGCTTCAATTACTACTTGTCCATTGACATAGTGCTGCCGACAAACTGGCATATAGACTTCAGCCCCTCCAATCAGTTCTGTCTGTGTCTCCTCTGTCTTCCTTAAGGTGAAGAAGGCACGCTTTCCACAGAGCTCACATCGAGCAGTTAGCTTAGTTACAGAATCAGCAAGAGGAATAATGTCAAGCACAGAACCAAAACTCCTTCTGCCAACAGAGAATGCCAAAAAGGATATTGAACAGGATTAACACCAAAAAACAAGAAACAAAAAACACATTTACCAAATTCAACTACTTTGTGGTATTGCATTTTGCACAAACAACAGGTTCATAGACATATAAGGAAAGAACTTCTGAAAGTACCTCAAGTAGTCACCATCCAAGCCCGCAACAATGACAATCTTCCCATCATGATCAGCTGCCTTGCAGCAGAAATCATACAGGTCTTCAAAAAATTGAGCTTCATCAATTCCTATAACATCCAGCTGTTGCCATATGCAGCAATGAGAGAACCATATGGAATACATATGCATCAAATTATGAATGTTGAATTCAAAGATAATATACCTTCTTATGGAAACCCAGATAGCAAAAAGAGTGAATATTACATCTCTTGCAGTGGAAGGTTATTTAGCAAAGCCCATTAGATGGATCCAAGTTGTGAGAAGAGGCTCGTGGCACCTTGCTTACTTCCTAAATAAAATTTAACACTATAATAGCTGATATTGGATGGATTCCAAGAGATCTCAACTTGGCCGCAGATGGACTAGATAAAGCTGGGGTGAAGGCGAGCCTTTTGTATAGTGATAGCATTTTTCCTACCTAATTTTTTATGGTGGAGGAAACCTGACTGGCACATCCTTGTATGTCAATGTACATACTCTCATGTGCACATCCTTCTGGCTTATACTAATTCAAATACCATACCTTTTCCTAAAACATTTAAAGAAAATTAAGCACTTGTACGGTTATAGCATCCTGATTCCTGACAACTTGCCTCTAGGTTTCTCAAGTTCAATTATTTTCATATGTAAACAATGAAGCAATACTACAAATGATATATACCATAACATATTCCTTTACTTTTCTTCGAGAAGAAAGTTATAACCAAAACCATCAGCGTTAGTAATTTTCACACTAAAGATTTCCCAAAACCAAGATAAAGATGGAGTCTAAAGACTTCTAAAAGAACAGATCAAACAAAAACAACGCCAAGGGAATATAAAAACTTGGATTACCTTGTCATAAACATCAATTCCAATTTTCCGTCTGAATGATGATAGATTTGGCAAAGCCCAGCATGGCAATTTCTCCCCATCATGTGTTACAATACAATCTAATCCATATCTTGTATCTTTGTTCGATTTTATTATCGCTACACTTCTGCAGCGATGAACAAAAATAAAGTTTAATGCGGGATGCTCATGGGAATTCAACACCATGTAGTGTACCAAGGGTAGCACTAAAAACTAAGAAGTAGGGTAGCTGCACCAGAAGGCACCTTCTTCTGCCTCAAATTACCTTATAAGACAACACTAAACCCTAAATTCTAGCAAAATGGTTTAAACCAATAATCAACAGACGAGACGAACCTGCCATTGTTGCTCTCAGTCTGGATTCGATGAAGGAGAGCGGTGGTTTTCCCGGAAAACATCGGACCCACGATGACGTGTATCTCACCGAAAGGCGATGGGGGTGTGTCAATTCGAGAACTAGAAACATGGACGGAACTCGAAATTTGTGAAGGAAAAGAAGAAAAGAGGGGTTTAAGGTAAAGAGAGTTAAAGTTTTGGAAGGACGACGATTTGCAGAGAAGGGATTCAGAGAACCCCAGGCAAAGGGAAGGCGTGTTTTTGGAGAAATGAGAAGGAAACGTTGAAAGTGTGGGAACGAGGAAGGATTTCATCTTGAACATAAATAACATGTAGAGTCTGTTCCTTGCAAGTATGTGCTTAATTTGAATTCGAAACTTGTTAGAAGACAAGGAACAAGAGGGCAGAACGAGAGAGAGCTTTGTTCAACATTCAAGGGTTTTGCGTTTCCATTCCTTCAGTTGGTTTTGGAGGGAAATAACAAGCAGAGTGAGAGGGCGAGAAAGAGAGGAAGGGGTGGGGATAGAGACCTGGCAAAAAGTTGACCCAACCCGCGAACCCGATCCAATCCAACTCGAAAAAACAGGGTTAGGTTTTATATTTAGCTATCCGAATGTAAAAATTGACCCGACCCGACCCAATCCGAAAAAAACTGGGTTGGGTTGGGTCATGGGTCAACCCGCTGACTCGATTGTTAAGTCTAATTGAGATTATTTATGCATTATTAAAAGTTTCTACTCTTTAATTTTTTCTATTTAGTCTCTACTTTTTATTGTTTACTCTTTAAATTGTTAAATATTCAAGTTTTTTATTTTATATTTGGAATTTTAAGGTTAATTCTTTTAATTTTGACATTTTTCATGTAATTTTTCTTTATTTTTTAAATTTCAATTATTTTTGGGGATGACTCGAATTGACCCATGGGTCAACCCTAACCCGAATTTTTAGGGTTAGGGTCTAGCATTTGACAACTCAACCCAAAATTCAACCCGACCCAAAATCAACCTGAAGTACCTTGACCCAACCCAAACCCGACCCACCCAACCCAATTGCCAAGTCTAGGTGGGGAGAACACAAAAGTAACCAATAAGAGTTTGTTTGTCTGTCTTGTATGCTTGCTAAGAGGAATTGTTTACCAATTTCGTTTTTCTCACCTCTATATTCGTTAATTTGCAAATGAATCAAGAAAACGTATTTGATTCTGATTATTGAATCAAGAAAATGTATCGGGAACATCTCTCGTGTTTGTGTGTTATATTATTAGGGAAAATTCCTATCAGTATCCTGTACTTTGGCTCGAGTGACAATTTGGTCCCTGAACTTTAAAATGTGATAATCCAGTACCCAAACTTTCAAAATGTGATAATCTAGTACCCAAACTTTCAAAATGTGACAATCCAGTACCTATCGTTAATTAGTCCCTTAATTAGCCGTTAAGTGACATTTGAAAAGTCAAAAATGCCCTAAGAATGCCATCTAATTCTCTTTATCAATCATCCAAACATTGACAATAAAATGAACAGTCCCAAATTCTAGATTCTTCTAAACAGTCACCAACTTTTTTGAAAAGAAGAGACTAGGATTTGGGACTGTTCAGTTTTTTGTCAACTTTGGATGGTTGATAAAGAGAATTGGATGGAATTCAAAGGGCATTTTTGACTTTTCAATTGTCACTTAATGGTTGATTAACAGACTGGTTAACGACAAGTACTGCATTGCCATATTTTAAAAGTTTGGGTACTAGATTGTCACATTTTGAAAGTTCGAGTACTAGATGATCGCATTTTAAAGTTCAGGGACCAAACTGTCACTCGAGCCAAATTACAGGGTACTGATCGGGAATTTTCCCTTATTATTATTCATGGGAGTCGGGAGATGTTTCCAATACGAGATCGGATCACCTACCAACAAAACACGTTCTAACCCTCTACCAACATCATCTTACACTGCACATCTCATACATGGCAGGTCCTAGTATCAAATTAAGATGTATGGTGTGAGATAATGTTGGTAGAGGGTTGGAACGTGTTTTGTTGGTAGAAGATCCCAATTCTTCCAATACATATGGGATGTGCATCTGAGGTGGTGCGAGGAGTAGATCCCAATTCCTGATTAACTTATTGGGCATTTGGGCTCACATTGGTTGCACCTTGCTTATGTTGGTGTAACGGATGAAAGTGTAAATAAGCTAGTGGTGCTTCATATTTTACTTTGTCAAGTATATTTAAGGTAGAAAGAGTCTTATGACATTTCTACTTAAGTCAAGTTAAATCAAATCCATCCTTTTTTATAGAGAAGGGAAAAGGCTCTAACATAAGTTGATGTTGTTTGATTCAAGGTGTAGTCGAGCCAAACATGCATAGATAATATTTCCAACTAGGACGAAGCAGTGCATCAATCAATTCTGTAGACAAAGGAAAGCTAGAGGCCCGAGGATTAGGTCATCGGGGAAGGCACTTCAATGCTCAAGTCAATAATAGAGGATAAAGTTAGTTAGACCATGCTGGTCCGAGCCAAGGAGGTGATATGAGAGCAAGAGAGTAAGAGAGCAAAAAGATATCAAACATTTGAGGGGAGATGCCTTTAAATAGTCGAGCGTCATGGTTCACTCTGACATGGTCCTTATGGGGTTTTTGGAAGAAGGCTGCTTACCGAGGTCTTTAAAGGCTCCGCCTTCTTTGACAAGGGTGTCTATCCACAATGAGATGTTCATCCTTATTCGTGAGGGGTTGTGCCTCCCCTCCAAGGTTCTCGTTTACAAGATTGCCCATTCTCCTCGGTGGTCGGTGTGCTAATCTGTTAACATGGATCGAAGTCATTATTGTGGGAACCCCAATGATCAAGGGTAGAGCCAAGGCGACCTGAGGGAACCCTAATCCCCACATATACTACCCCTCTCCCCCACCCCCACCTATGATTACCCCCCTAATTCCCCATCCATGTTTATTCTACTATCCCCATCCATTTAATTAGGTTTTGGCCCCATAGGAAAAATTTTGGCTGCTCCCCTACCAAAGCTCATTGGACTTAACTCTTTCAATGGAAAATTGGTCATGTTTTTGGTTTAATTACCTCTTAGCCCATTATTTTTGTAAAATATAGTTGATTTTTGTCAAGACCTTTGATCTAGAGTGTGTAATCATTGAACTGTTTGAAATGGATAACTGTTCACAAACTAATAACTATGTTTTATATTTTAAATATTTTGTTATATTTATGATGAATATCATGGTTTTCGAAATGTTGTTGACTCAAATGGTCAGACCTTTGGCCCAAAAACCGTCAAGGCAACCGGTTCCATTTCACCCTTAACCCGTATCTTAGCAAAAAAAAAAATGTTGGCTTGGTCAGTGACCCACTAACGGTCAAACCATCGACCTGTTTGACCTAAACAATGGTTTTTGGTTGTTTTTATTTTGTTTTATTTTTTAATTGGAATGAGTCATCTGTTCGAAATGGATTGTCGGATTGTTTGGCCCGAAAATTATCGAGGCAACCAGTTCCATTTCACCCTTAACTCGTATCTTGGCAAAAAACCGTTGACTTAGTCAGCAACCCGTTGACTTGAATGGTTGAATTGTCAACCCGTTTGACCCAAACAATGTTTTTGGTTGTTTTTTATTTTTATTATTTAATCATTTCTTAATATTTTTAATTGGAATGGGCCATTCATTTAACCTAGATGGTTAGACCATTTGGCTCAAAAACCATCAAGGCAACCTGTTTTGTTTCACCCTTAACCCATATCTTGGACAAAAAATGTTGACTTGGTCAACAACATGCTAACTTGGATGGCTGAATTGTCGACCCATTCAAATTGGACAGTGTTTTTTGCCATTCATTATTTTAATTTTTTATTATTTTTTAATTAGAATAGGTCGTCTGTTCAAATTGAACAGTCAAACCGCTAACCTAGAAACCAGTGGCCAAAGCGGTTCCATTTCCGAGTCGACTTTTAAAACATTGATGAATGTCATAAGGGGATCCATTTCAAACCGAGTATTGAACTGCTAATCTGAACCTAGAGACAAAAATGGTCCCATTTTCAGTTTGACTATTAAAACATTGAGTTAAGGTTTAACTTCATTAATTAGGTTATATAGGTTAATTAGTTAACTTAATTTAAAATTGATTAATTGCTTTACTTAATTTAAGTTCATTTAACTTAGTTAAATGGACCAATTAGGATAGTTATGTTACTCAATTTAATTAGATAATACTTTAATTAGCTAATCAAATAAATTATTTATTAATTAGCTATGCAACTGTACATGATTAAATGCAATAATTATATTTAATAAGTCATGTTTATGTAACATTGTTTTAAAATTGTGTTTCTAACATGTGGTGGTTGTGATGAGAAGAAATAGTAAGAGGAATATGTTGAGAGAATGAAGAAGAAAACGGGAAGATGATAAATACAGTAGAAGGTTGATTAAAAATATAAGGAAGGTGCACTAAGGGTAGTATGAAAATTGGAGAAGTTTCCTAATGTGTTAAAGAGGTTTTAGGGGTGTTGAGTGAGTGAGTGAGAGAGAGAGAGAGAGGTGGCATGAAAATTGGAGAAGTTTCCTAATGTGTTGGAGAGGTTTTAGGGGTGTGGGGGGAGAGATCTTAGGAAGATTTTTAGGTAATTGGAAAGTGAGAATTAAGAACTAAACAAATTTGAGACTATGCTTTTCAATTAGGGGTGGGAAAGGGAGATTGTCATGCTGAGGTGGCAACTCCTAGTGCTCATAAAAGGAATCTTGCATCCCCTCTAGAATTGATCGATTGAGGCAATGGACCAAGGAGAGGGTTGCTGACGTGGACAACCTTGTGGCAAAGTGATTGCAGACAAAGTGAGATTTCATCAAGGACTCTTTGGCAAAGTGATTGTGGACAAACAAATAAACACAAAAGGGATCCTTGATACAATAAAAAGCCTTTGGAGCCGAAAGTTCAAGTACGAAGTTGAATGGCTAATGGGGGATTTCCTCTGGATTTCCTTTCGTAAAACATCGGATCTCGAATGGGTGTTGGATAGTCAACCGTGGATGGTGAAGGATTACCCCTTGTTATTTCGGCAGTGGGAACTGGATATAGTTTCTAGACTACTTGCTTTCTCTTATGTAGTTCTCATTGTTTGGATCCTTAATGTACCATTTGAAATGATGTCGATGGTGTGGACTAGGAGGTTGGAAAGAGAGGCCAGGACAGTAGAGAAGGTACTCACTGAAGAAGACGATGAGGATATCCTCTGTTTGGGGCGTTTTCTGAGAGCAAGAGTGCGAATCGATACCTCCAGAGCCTTAGCGGTGGGCATACAGGAATACACGTCTACATGTATTCAAGTGTGGCTCCCTTACCAATATGAGAGACTTCTGGTTTTCTGTTATAGATGTGGAGTTCTAGTTCATGGTGAATCAAAGTGCAATAGAATCATGGAGGAGCAGTTTCTGGATGAACTCACAACTAGGCTAGCAAATCAAAGCATGGGTATGGAAAGTAATAAGGTTTTGTATGGGCA